AGAGAGAGAGAGAGAGAGAGAGAGAGAGAGAGAGAGAGAGAGAGAGAGAGAGAGAGAGAGAGAATGTTAATTGGCATTGGTTTGTCTCTTTGTGAACTCCAAACAACCTATTCTCATTAACATGCTGAATTTTACACCTCTACTTATACCAGAACTGATTTAAATAGACACACAAGCCACATGTTTAACTCCATGTAACTGGTTTTCTATGCAAAGGAGTGGTTACTTTTGTCCTGTCCAATCAACCTTTCTCTTGTATTTTCCTCTGATGTGTTATTAACTATAAAATAGAATGTAAGCTGAGGATTTGGGTTCCCTCTTTGATTGAGAGTAATCCTTTTTAATCAGAACATTCTGAATAAATTGTAATAAAATGATTTTCCTCTCTTGGCATATTTCATTGGAAAATATGCATACTGAAGTACAAACCTAGAGTCATATTTGGCCTTCAAAATACATAATAGCTGTTGAAATCTACTTAGAAGAGTAAGTGTAATAAACTAATAAAATAGGTAATAGGTTGCACAGGAAGAACATTTTTAAAGTAAACAAGTGATGCATCTATTTATATATGGTATGAATACATTTGCATTACTGTGTGTGTAGAAAAGCAAATAAACTACCCCAATGTCATGCAGAAGCTAACATTAACATTTAAAATCCATGGGAGAAGGTGCTATGAAGATCCATTTTTTATGTCTTTAATAGCCAGAAGGAATTATCTTGAGGGACAGAAGGAACAGATGTTATCAAAACAGTGGTTAGATAAAAGAAACTGGGCTGGCAAAACTAAACTCAGACAAGACCCTTCCTAATTCTAAGAAAGATAAAAGGAGGGAGGAGAAAGCACATTCAAACTTGAAAGGTTCTGTTACTGTGCAACAAAAGTAATATTGGACTGCATCTCATTGATTTCCTAGTCTGATCTATCTTGGGGGTGACAGTTTCTTATAAAAAGTGAAAAATTACGAACTTAAAATGCAGTATTTTCCTATTACAACATTTGTGAATGATTTCCCCAAATGTAGGAAACACATAGTTCAAAAACAATTTTCTGACTTAGAGACTGCACACCTCACTCACAAAGTAACTCTGGGCAGTGTACAATTAAAAATGGTCCTAATTGTATATGAAACACATACAGGTGAAAGTCGAACAATTAGAATATTGTGCAAAAGTTCATTTATTTCAGTAATGCAACTTAAAAGGTGAACCTAATATATGAGATAGACTCATTATGTGCAAAGTAAGATAGTTCAAGCCATGATGTGGCATAATTGAGATGATTATGGCTTACAGCTCATGAAAACCCCAAATCCACAATCTCAGAAAATTGGAATATTGTGAAAAGGTTCAATATTCTAGGCTCAAAGTGTCCCACTCTAATCAGCTAATTAAGCCATAACACCTGCAAAGGGTTCCTGAGCCTTTCAATGGTCTCTCAGTCTGGTTCAGTAGGAAGCCCAATCATGGGAAAGACTGCTGACCTGACAGTTGTGCAGAAAACCATCATTGACACCCTCCATAAGGAGGGAAAGCCTCAAAAGGTAATTGCAAAAGAAGTTGGATGTTCCCAAGTGCTGTATCAAAGCATATTAATAGAAAGTTATGTGGAAGGGAAAAGTGTGGAAGAAAAAGGTGCACAAGCAGCAGGGATGACCGCAGCCTGGAGAGGATTGTCAGGAAAAGGCCATTCAAAAGTGTTGGGGACTTTCACAAGGAGTGGATTGAGGCTGGAGTCAGTGCATCAAGAGCCACCACACACAGATGGATCCTGGACATGGACTTCAAATGTCGTATTCCTCTTGTCAAGCTGCTCCTGAACAACAAACGTCAGAAGCGTCTTACCTGGACTAAAGAAAAACAGAACTGGTCTGTTGCTCAGCGGTCCAAAGTTCTCTTTTCTGATGAGAACAACTTTTGCATCTCATTTGGAAACCAAGGACCCAGAGTCTGGCGGAAGAATGGAGAGGCACACACTGCAAGATGCTTGAAGTCCAGTGTGAAGTTTCCACAGTCTGTGTTGATTTGGGGAGCCATGTCATCTGCTGGTGTTGGTCCACTATGCTTCATTAAATCCAGGGTCAATGCAGCTGTCTACCAGGAGATTTTGGAGCACTTCAGGCTTCCTTCCACATGAGCTGTATGGGGATGCTGACTTCATTTTCCAGCAGGACTTGGCACCGGCCCACACTGCCAAAAGCACCAAAACCTGGTTCAATGACTGTGGGATTACTGTGCTTGATTGGCCAGCAAACTCGCCTGACCTGAACCCCATAGAGCATCTATGGGGCATTGCCAAGAGAAAGATGAGAGACATGAGACCAAACAATGCAGAAGAGCTAAAGGCCGCTATTGAAGCATCCTGGTCTTTCATAACGCCTCAGCAGTGCCACAGGCTGATACCTTCCATGCCACTCCGCATTGAGGCAGTCATTGCTGCAAAAGGGGCCCAAACCAAGTACTGAGTACATATGCATGCTTATATTTTTCAGAGGTCCAATATTGTTCTATAGACAATCCTTGTTTTATTGATGTAATATTCTAATTTTTTGAGATTGTGGATTTGGGGTTTTCATGAGCCGTAAGCCATAATTATCACAATTATGACAAATCACAGCTTGAACTATCTTGCTTTGCATGTAATGAGTCTATCCCATATATTAGTTTCACCTTTTAAGTTGCATTACTGAAATAAATGAACTTTTGCATGATATTCTAATTTTTCGAGTTTCACCTGTAGTTTAAATAGAGAGAAATCTTCTATAGATAGATTTTAGTTCAAATTTACTTTTCTTTTCCCAACTTTCACCAGCAGCAGGCTTGAAAATCTGCAGTAACGTGTCTCACTTTTTTAAGAATATTCTCTTACTCCTTCCAGACCAGAGTATCAGCTCTATAAAGTAAACAAGACTAAGAAAATAATGCCACATAGGTCAGGATAGTAACAATAATAATTCATGAACCTAAACTTCATCTTGTTCCTGATCTGGATTATTGATTGTGCAAAACTTTAATTAGTATATAAGCAAATACTTTCATTCAACAAGAAGTAAGAATATTGTGAATGGATTTATATACTTAGCACAAATTTCTGAATATGGGTTTATCAAGTCAGAATCTATTCATATATTTCTGACAGTTCCTGTTCAGATATTGATGAAATTCAGCATTTTAGAAACATTTGTAGAATCATCCTATATATTCTGTGTGAGATGTCAGCATTCAAACCGTTTCAGCACACTCATTCATAAATGAATAAAGATTGGAACGTAGTGATTAGTTCTTAATAATACAGAAAGGAGGGAAATGTTTTAAAAATATATAAAACATTATAATTATTTTAAAAATATTTTATAGGCAATGTTAATATAAATATCTAAAAAAAATGTCTTGCATACTGAGCAAAGCATTTTGTCAAATACAATATTGATACCGTCTTTCAGTAAAAATGCAAATGACATTCTACCTGTCCCCAATGACATAATGTTTTAACAGATGTGAAATCAGGAAAAATTCCAACATAAACATCTGCTCGACTCTGGAAAACAAGAGAAATTGAAAAGATTTTAATATCTATCAGTGTGTTGTACATACGTCCTAGCTGATGTGGGCAACAGTAGCCTCTAGTATTCTTAGTTTGCATGCGTGAGCATGCTTAGAGTAAAACAAGGCTTCAATTACCTTAATGACCTACAGACCAAATGTGCCCAGACTGATTTAACTTATTACATTTAGAAAGGAATACTGTATGTGGCATGAGTATGAATAAAGCTGGTAATAATTTGTAACATAGAATTCTCACACTAATAATGAGGATTAACATTATATAAGCACAAGCCAAGGATAGATTCATTCACAAGAAATTGGCTCCCTCCCTGTACTGAATGTGTCGGAGGAAGAAAGCCACAATTTCACAGTTTTGCATTACCTATAGATTCCAAATCTGAAAACAATGTCACCTGCTGTAATATTTGTATTGTATCGTCAACCATTCCCCTTATCTTATTAATCTGAGCTCAGAGATCATTGTTCGTGTACTAAGGAGATCAGGTATCTATCCTATTCTTTGTCTCAACTCAGTGCAATTGATCAATGGCATGAGGGGCAGAAGAGGTGATTGCTGGTTCATCTGGTGTTAACTATCACAATTAAAAGATTAAGACTTGGAATGTAAGAAAGGTATGTGGTAAAAAACATCAATTAGTAAAAGAAAGAAAGAAAAATAGGTATTCTGTAGGTTTGCAAAACTAGTAAAAGAGATGATATACATTTGAATGGAAGGTGGTCTGATCTTCTACAACAGAACTGAGGAATACCTGAAGGGTTTATGGCGTGCTATTTTAGACACAATTATTTTAAAAGAAGAAAAAAGTAAAAAGAAATAAACCATCAAAGTAATGCATGATGGAATTTTGGCAGCACAATCCTGTAAGATGTAGGCGATGCCAAAAAAAGTGGGGGGGGGGGAATATAGGGAGGTTTACAAAGTCAAGATGGTGGCTGCCACTGTGTGATGGAAACCCTGTTCCTGTTTACATATCTTGCATATGACAGAGTTGACCACCTTTGACAACCTGCCCCTCGCTTTTTTTACAATCTCCTCCCCCCCCCACCCGCCTCCCCAGAGCTGCTGCTACTTAGGATATAATGGAAGCAAAAACCAGGCTGGATGATAACTGAGGTCTGAGGGAACCCAGGATCAAGTTCAGCTGCAGCAATGAAACCTCATGGTTTAATTCAATAGCTTTTTTTTTAACCTCAAACTATTACAAGGATTATTTTTGTGAGAAAACTGGAGGAAGTAGTGCTATATACCTACTTTAAAGTTCGTGAGAAAAGGTAAGAAGTACATCTAAATAACAACTCTACTTTACCAATACTTTGTTTTACAGATATTTTGCCAGGCATTATTATTACATTTAATTTTTCTATACCTATTTGTAATTTTTTTTTTTTTCACTAGAGAATATTCAGTGAAAATCTTGGTGAATAAAATGGGAATTTCAAACATTGATTCCAACACAGGGATGTCAAACTTGCGGGCTGCAGGCCAGATGCATCACACTCTGGCCACGCCCACCCCTGGTTTAGCGAAGAGGAAAAAAGTTGTGATATGTCACATGGCAATGATTTGATGATGCAAGTTTGACACCCTTGCTCTAATAATATCTATTATTATTGTGGGAGCAGGCCTTCCTGTCTCCCTATAACATGGGTGTCAAACTCTCATCATCATGGCATCGTCACATGACGTATTGAGACTATTTTTCCCTTAGCTAAACCTGGCATGGGCGTGGCCAGCACATGACACATCCGGGCCGTGAGTTTGAAAGCCCTGTCCTATAAGAATCCTTTTGACTTTTTCATCCCCAAATATCAAGCAACCATATAATTTCATATTGAGTTGTAATTACCCTATTTGTACAGTTTTGATGCTACAGACATAAATTCAGAGCAGATTTCTAAGAGTTGTTTTTCACTTTGTGTTTGTTCAGTTGACAAAACAGTTATTTCAGGATTCTATAGTCTAATCAGTAAAGGAGAGAGGCTGTTCAAAATATATTGTATAAATATAGGTAAAAATATGTCCTTCAATCATTCAGGTGTAAGATATTACATTGTTGTTGTTTGGATGACTTAAGTTGTTGTTTTTTTCCTCTTCCTTTCCCACCTCCTCTATAGAATTACAATAAAAGTAGAGCTTACTGTACTTACTGTATTTAGGTTTTTTGCATTATATCCTCCCATATAAAAAATACCTTGAAGGCAAAGCTTATCAAACATGGCATGGCTACATCCATAGGCTAGGAAGGCTTTTAATTTGTTACTTAAAAGATAATATTCCTTCTTGCCCCATATTAGCTGTAAAATAAACATGCATAAATATTAAGTGTTCTTCCTTTACCTGCCCAACTATGCATTGTCAGTCTGTGATTATAAATCTACGCACGTTCACATGCATACAGATGGTCCTTGTTTAACGACCGGTCTCATAGCAACAATTCAAACTTATGACAGACTCTCCCAAAACTACTAAAGATCCAGTTCTGGAGTGGCTGCACACACATTCACAATCACATGACCACTTAGAAACTGGCCCACCAACCTGACCATGATTTACAATGTTTTTTTGCCTGTTTCTGGCCTTTGGGGACGGTTTCCAGCAAAAAACACCCATAGGAAAATGTGGATTCACTTAACAATCATGGTATTCTCTTAATGACCACCACAAAAAAGTAATAAAATGGGGTCCACTCCAGTTCAGTGCCATGATGTACATCATCATGACTTACAATGCAAATTCTGGGATTCATTATACTCATACCTTAAGGACTACCTGTACACTAAACACAAACATTAAGTCTAAAAGTGTCTTCAGTGTCCAATCCTAACAATGGCCCAGTACGATGCCACAGTTAATGGTACTGAAAGATTTAAAAAGATCAGGATAAAAGACCACACTTTTGGTCGCCATGTTACAAAAAAGATGTTGAGACTTTGGAAAAAGTGCAAAGAGCAACTAAGATGATGAAAGAGCTAGAGACTAAAACATATGAAGAACAGTTGCAGGATTTGGGTATAGCTAGTCTAGAGAAAAGAAGAACTGGGGGGACATGAGAGCAGTATTCCACTATTTAAGAGGCTGTCAGAAAGAAGAGAGGGTCAAATTATTTTCCGAAACACCAGAGGGCAAGACAAGAAACAATGGATGGAAACTAATGAAGCAATCTGGAATTCAGGAGAAACTTCCTAACAGTGAAGACAATTAATCAGTGGAGAGGGTTTGCCTTCAGAAGTTGTGGGTGCTTCATCACTGAAAGTTTTTAAGAAGAGACTGGAAAACCACCTATCTAAAATTGTATAGGATCTCCTGCTTGAGCAGGGGATTGGACTAGAAGTCCTCCAAGCAGGGGTGGGATTCTACCATTTCACATCTATTCACTAGAACTGGTTGTTAACACTCTAAGCAGTTCAGAGAACTGGTTGTTAGAAGGAATCACCGGCCTAATCCTGTAAGGAAGGCAGGAAGGAAACATTCTGGTGTTGCTTATAGAAACTGCCTCTCCTTTAACCCTTATTACATTCTTGGCAGGACTAGACTTCCTGTCTCAGGAACGTCTCTGGAGTTTTTTCCCCCTCCTTTGCTGGTACTTTGCTTGTGTGGAGTGACCATTCAAAGGTACAATGGCACTGAAAAAAATGACTTATGACCATTTTTCACACTTATGACTGTTGCAGCATCCCCACAGTCATGACAGGGCCGGCGAGGAGATGCGTGCCTCAATGTGATATTGAGTTGGCCACACCCAGCCAATAACATGACCGCCAAGCCATGTCCACCCAGTCACATGACTACTAAGCTATGCTCACCAACTAAGCCATGCCCACAGAACCGGTTGTTAAAAATTTGAATCCCACCCCTGCCTCCAAGATCCCTTCCAGCTCTATTCTGACTTTGAATTTGAGGATGGATACATTTCCTAGATTCAGAACTTGACAAAGGTTATCCATTAGTGTAACCGTTGCCAACTCCAAGCCATATCCAGCCTTAAACTCTGACTGAAGGGATTGAGATAATCTACTTCCCCTAGGATGCACTATAGCAACCTTCAAGGCTGCCAACAGTATCCCCTGCAATTTTTTTCAGGAGTATATACCTTCAAAAATCCACATTTTTCAGAAATTCATTATATGTCTCCTATTTAATAAATATAAAGTTAAATTGATATACTAAAGTAGGGCTGTCAAACTGACGGCCCATGGAAAGATGTGTCATGCGCAGGCCATGCCCATCCCAGCTCCGCAAATGGGAAAAACGTTGCAAGACATCATGGCAATGTGACACCACAAGTTTAACACCTGTGTACTAAAGAAAAGAGTGGTGATATGCAAAACTTTGGACATAGGAAACATTTCTTCAATAGAACAGATGGTTGGGGGTCAAAATGGGTTGAGGAAAATGAGGAAAAAGGAGATAAGCTTCTGCTTATGAGGAAATGAGGAAAGTGTCAGGATTAATGCAGTTTTGATTTGCAAGCTACTATGCTGCTCCTCCCTCTCTTTCTGTTGGCAACTCTAAAAAGACCATAGAAATAGTTTATGAGTTGAGAGAAAGATCAAAGGGGCTAAGAAGATGGGAGCAGCTCAATTCGTGGGACGTGCTTCACTGGGATATTGTTAGTGGCTGAGGGCAAGGAGGAGAGGGGCTAGGAAAACCAGTGGGATATGATGCATTAGGATATCAACAAAATATCAATAGCAGGCAACAGAGTGGGAAGGCATGAAGAAGACTGAGGTAGGATGGGCCTGTGGAATATGATAAAGGGAAAGAGTAGCTGACATACATTACTATTATCTTCCTCGGCCCATCTGAATTTGTTTTGCTGGAAACTCTAACCGACCACATCACTGGTTCTACTGAATCATGGTTGACTCCAGCCAGTTCAGAACTGACTCAAAACCCCTGCTACACATTGAGTTGTTCCAGGCTTGAAATAAAATATTTTCCCCGTTTCTTAAACACTTCTCAAAGGTGGTTACAAAATGTTTTCCGCAAAGGGAGATGATTGCAAACCAAGCACATGCTGCTCAAAATGATTGTGAAGTGCTTATATTACGAAAAAGATGTAGTAATACCTATGTGAATTTTAAAGCACTTTTCTCTGAAAAAGTATTAACTGAGATACATGTAATTCTGCTGCTTCTGAAAAAAAAGTATTTTGTTCTAAAGCTGTATTTCTTAACCTTGGCAACTTTAAGTTGTGTGGACTTAATTCCCAGAATTCTCCAGCCAGCACTGAAACACACATATCTTAAATTTGCCAAAGTTAAGAAATATTGTTCTAAACCATGGCTGGACAATTAATTTCCTCAAGGGGCCATATGAGAAACTGACACTAGTGTGGAGGGTTACCATCACCAAACCATACCCTCCCCACCGTCTCCACAGGCCAGACACAGGTAGTCAAAGGGCCAGATATGACCCGCAAGCCATAAATTGGCCAGGTCTGTCCTAAAGTATCAAGGAAGTATCAACTAAAATTGAAAGTTTAACACATTTAACTTTATTAGCAATATTTAGGTGGTAACTCTTTATAGAGATACATGTAATTCTTTAATGATTTTTATTTAAAAATCCGTTAGAATTGATCTATTTTTTCTACTAAAACAGGTTATGTTACAATTATCAATAAATCTCACTGCACAAGTCATCCTTTTAATACATTTCTCCAGAAAACTAAACAAAAAGAGAGCCTGTTTTTTCAAAACTTCTGTATGAAAAGAACGAGTTTAATATACTATAGTAAGAAAAACAAGAGATATACTTACTTTTCTTAGTCCAGCAGGAATTTTTCCCAGTGCTTGGGGAAGTCCTGTAATACCCCTTAATGTGTAAGCAGGTGTGAAACACAGAAAGAGATTCACTTTTTGTGTTAGGTGGGGCAGGAGTGAAAAGGCAATAAATCCTGCAAAAGAGAAGAAGAATTTAGCTTTCAAATTGCATGATGACCAATATCTGCACTGCTGTCTATATACCACTACAAGTTTTATTTCTGTTTAGTTTTAACTTTTGGGCTGAATCCTGTAGTGCATTTTCAAGATTCTCTTGTTTTCTGTGAAGGAAGGAAGCTTCTTTAAAATTCAGGCTTAAGGGCAGGAGGAGTTATGCAACCTCAACGACAGGCTGGGAAGGAGGAGTGTCTATTTTATACTGTATTCAAAGAAGTAACATGTATTAAGGCTAGATACTCAAACAGAGCCTTCCTTTCCGATGAAACTACTAGGAACAAAAAAGTGACCACATGACCACTTTGACTGTTCTGGGAAATAAAATTGCCCTGTAGGAATCTAACTTTTTGCAAATACAAAATATACATGGGGCATTTTATTTCAAAAGCAAAAGCCCCTCAGACCCTCACACATCCCCAATTACAATTACATTGTTACCCTTCCAGCTTTCACCCAGAGCAGAACATCATTACTCTACTGGAAGGTCTCAAAATGACTATTTTGGGAAAACAAGACTTTAACTGCTCCACTGAACAAGGCATCTCAACAAACAAAATAGGTTTGTAACACATTAAAAATTTAATTGATAAGGAGCTTGTAATACGTTTAGCAACCTATAGTATCTTCTTCTTCCTTCCCCCTTCCAACTTTATACCAATTTAAATTCAACATGTAAGCACTCTTTGCATCTGATGAAATGAGCTTCAGCTGACAAAGCTGATGTCTTTTAAGCAAAGTTGTCAGTTTGAAAAGGTGATACCAAACTCCTTCTGAATATTTAAAGAAATTCTTCCTTCTTTCCATCTCAGTGTTATTACTCCCTCCACACATGTAAATATAAGGACAGGGTGAGTGAATATTTGGAACACCATTCATTTTCAAACTAAGAAACGATATATAGTGAGCAACTCTTTTGCATGACAAGTAAGATGTCACCTTAATAATCCAGTTTAAAATCAGACTGTATTAATCTGAGCATTTATAAGGGAAGAATATGATAAATTTAAAAGACCAGATCATGTTACTGAAGGAAATGCTAACATTCCTTTTGAGAACCAATTTGATATGGAGTTATGGTGCTGGGCTAGGTGTAGAGAGAATCTAGTCTTCTCTTAGGCATAGATGTCACCTAGACATGGGGCAAGTCATTCTGACTCAAACTTCATCAGGTCCAGCCCTATAATAAGCTGGCCAAAAATTGAAAATCCCATGTCACATCATGCATGGATAGCTTTGCTCTAAGAACTAAGCAAGCATAATAAAAAACAAGTATATAAATGGAGGGCTTAGAAGAAATCAATTTGTAGGACACAATTCCAAAAACTAATAAATGAAGAAAAAAACTTTGGAGAAAAACTGAAGGTAAGGTGGAGTGAGATATGACATTCACTCGCAGAACCCTATATTATGGCTTCAAAGGAGCAACTTTGAAGTTTCTCTATGAAAAATTGCAGTGCCCCCTTCCAATTGGTAGAAGCTGTAATGTTTCCCTTCACTTCATCAGAAGTGGCTATACAATAGGTGCAATGCTTGCACAAAAGACATTTCGGTCAAATGAAAGTAGTTAAACTAAGCAACTTGGCTCTGATTTTGTAATTTCGGTACCAAATCCAATTCACTACTCAGCTGAGTTGAGACACATGCAAATTATCTAACAGGGGCAAACTGATTGCAAATCAGTTTGAGCTCACAACTCAAACACTATATTTTTTATATTCTTATCAAATTGTGGCAAGAATACATATGCCCATTTTTAACTTACCTAGTGTTCCTCCCTGGCCGTGACCAAAGTAATATAATCTATTTTGCTTTGTTTTCTGCAGAATGAATGCTATAGTTGCTGGGATATCATATATGGCCATTTCATGAAAACTGTTAACAAAGAGACACATACACACAAACAAAAGTCAGTGATGATCCTGCTCACCTATCCTATCTTCTCTGGATCTTAGGACAGAATTGCAATTTCTCTCTACCTACAGCCAGAGAAAGAGAAAGGCTAGTATAAGGCACTCTGGAAAGTGGAGATGTCAGTAAAAGCCAGGCATTCAGTCTATTCTATACCCCAATAAATGGCCTTGAAACTAGGAGTCCTGCAACCAGAACAGAGAGGTCATCCTCACAGCAGTCTAAAATGTTCCTTGAATCTTGGCAGTTCAACTGATGAAATATGTTGGATTGTATCCAAGCCAAAAGATTGTGTCAGAAGAAGGAAACCAAAGCATTAATACTGGAGAAGAATACTGGAGAAGACAAATTTTAGCTGTCTCATCCATGAGCTTGGATGAGACAAAGGCAATGTCATGGTGACACATCATATAAAAGATGCTTACAATGGCACATGATTGTGTCTTGTTTGTGGGACATGGGAAATAGTACCTGCAATTTGATGAGGGACTAACACAATATCTAATCCTTTAAAGAACTGCTTTTTAAACATTGCCTGCATTCTTTTCCTTCTTTTGTGTCCTCTTTGGTAAATCCAGAGTGCTAAGATACTCATTACTACTTCACTTATCCTAAATTCAATTTCTTATATTTTTAAAACAACTTCTTATTGCAAAGAACAATTTTAGAAAACTGTACTGTTTCTTTTATTCAGTGAATACCTGTGCAAATATTTTTAAGTTGTCATGGAAAATAATAGTTATTTACAAAAAGTCTCTTGTTCCTTTCTTTTATTGATTTTGGAATGGTCTTTATTCTAACTCATGAAAAAAGAGGGAAGCAAGAGTGAGAGAAAACCTCTGAAGCAGTAGGACATCAGCAAGCTAGTTTTAGTGGCATGATTTCTGATCCATCCTTTCAGCTGAAGTGGCTGTTATATTAGTTCAGTTCACAGATAACTCTCATTATTATTTCATTTATCTTGATTGTGAAAGAGAATGTTGCCCTAAAACATTATACAGTAGATATTATTGTTGGAATACATTGTTGGAATGTATTTTGTGCAACAATTACAGCCAACAGTAGATGATAGTGTTTATAGGTTTGCATCTATGTTATATACTCTATGTCTTTTTGTTCTGAGAAAAGTTTCCTGTTTCCTGTTGCAGTAAAGCAGTAAAGCACATGGTGACTGTGCACTTTTTTTTTGTTCTGTAGAGCTAACAATTATAGAAACTTGGTTGAAGGATAAGTTGGATTGATTTTCATCTAATTCTGCTACTTGGTTTCTCAGGGCAGCATCAGTGCAGCAAGTAGAATACAGGGGAAGATAAGAGTTTCTCTGTCCTTTAGTGTCATCCCCAAATAAACCTAAAATTTAGGATTAGTATAGCTTTGAAGGCTTTAACTTGGCATATTGTTGTTGAATAAGGACCAGCCTGGGATTTCACAGCTACCATGCTCCTGACTCAACCTATAAGTGAAGCAAATGTTCAATTTAGAATTTATTTCAGAGTCAACGGAAGAGGTTGGACTGCCTTTTGAGGAGCCAACCCCAATCTCTGTTGTGGCAAAATCACCAACTGCTGAAATTGTGAGAATCTTAGGAAATTACTTTTTTTTCTTTTGAGATGGAGGAAGAAATTGGACAAGCAGGTTTTTATGTGGGAAGTCTGGTTGTAACATGATACATCTTTGTTGAAACATTCCAGTTAAGATAGATTATATTTAAGCAGTGATGGATTAAGGGTCACTAGTGCCTAAGCATTGACAAATCTTGGTGCCTCCCTCCTTTGTACATACTGTACAAATGAAGCCATATTCTCAACTTTGTGGTACCCACTCTGGGCCTGGTACCCTACGCATGTGCATAGGCTGCTTAGTGGTTAATACACCACTGCGTTTAAGAGATATAATGCCATAAACACTCAATTCCATAAACATCCAGATATTGCTTTCACGTGCTTGGTTGTCAAAAGAGGTAGGTGTAATATTTCTGGGTGTGACCAGAACTATAGAATGCTATTTTGAACTTAGTTGCAGGCATGCTTTTTCTGTGATGGCAACCACACTTTGGAATGCTCTGTCTTCTGAAGTTCCTTAGGCTTTTGTTAAGCACCTGTCATAGACTTTACTTCTTCAGTCAGGCTTAATGAACGTTAGATGAGTGCTTTTGAATTTCTTTTCCTTTTCCTTTCCCTTCTTCATTGTTTGATATATTTTTTATTGTTTACATATAAATATATTGAATACAGTGTAATTGGCCATGGCATCCCAATTGCCATAAAACAGAAGTAAAAACAAAATAACATATGCAAATATATATATACAAATTTTTGTACAAAAATTTCTGACCATCATATGTTAACTCATCTTTTCTTTTCCTTTCCCTTCTTCATTTTTAATGTCTATGTTTCTATATTATTTTTAGCTTACCATGTTTATTATGCATTGCATATTTTCCAAATCACTATGTGGTGCTTTCCTACAGGGAGTATTGTAAAATGATGTTATAATAACTCCCTTGAACATATGATATACCCAAACTCCTTTAATTTTTGACAATTTTCATGTAAAATCTACATACAAATCTACATTTACACACAAAATCCAGTACTGGAATGTATATAATTTTAAAAGCAAAATTAATTTCTAATACTGAAAACTTTGGCATTAGCTGTGCTACAAAAATCTCACATTCATACCATGCTATATATTGTTCATAATTCAATCAAATTTGTTCACATACCAGTAGATATATAAATATTCTTTAAAATTTACTATCCATTGTCCCTATGTATTATCTCTTGAATTTACCTGAATTCCCAGAATTCTTGCTGGTCAATTGAAAATTTCTGGTGTCTTCTAGACCACGTGGTCCCTCTGATATTTATTATCCAGACATCATAACCAGCATCTGATAGAAAAAACCCCAGACTGTTGCTGGGAAGATTTGCAATCCAACATCTCCCTTCAAACAGCAAACCATGTACTAATAAAACAACTTGCTTAGGCCCTGGGAAAGAAATCATGAGTTTATTACTAATTAGCTATGTTGTATATACAGTATATATCATCCCTGTTCATCAAATTGTTGAGAACAAAGGAGTAGTAGAAATACAGGAGCAGGATCTAATATCCTACATTCTATCTCACTCTGCTGCCACTATGTACACAAAAAGGTTAAAATTTGAATAACCAAAAACTAATCTGCTAAATAAATAAACATCAAGCCTTCAATATTTTACTAGCTGTACTGAGTGGTGTGTCTCTAATCCAAATATGAGGATTAACTGGGTGTGTGCTAGGTGCAAATTAAATTGAAAATTCCCTACAGTAATTTTCTAATCATCCATTGATACTGCCCCATATTTCTGGAGAAGCCTATACAATACTTCTCAACAATTGTAAAAACATTTGAGTATTGTGAATTTCTGAGTTTGGTTGTTTGGTTGAAGATGTTTGATTACCCAATTAGGTAATATCATCAGTGCAAGTGGGTGTGGGCTTTGCTCCCTAATTATAAACAGTAGTTGCCTGCCTGGCAGAGATGTGATTTTTCCTTGGTAATTTCTTGATTAGAGTATTGGTTTCTGCTTGATTGTCCGTTGTTAATTGCTGTTAATCTGGGTGTTGATTGCATGGTAAGCAATATAGATATACCTGTCAGATGAGCAAAAAGTCTTCCAGAAATAATTCTGTTTAACTTAAGATAATAGCCATCATCAGTCAGGACTTCATATTCTTCACTGGAATATCCCCAGTAATGGATAATTTGAGGCTGCAAATAAAATATTATCTTTGGCCAGAATCAGTTATATAGTCACTATTGTTCATTAGATCAAGAACTTAGAAGATCTCTAGTTCCTATATTAGAATTATCAGTGCCAAACAAAGCCAACATCTTTGTGGCTTCACTTGTAATTTTAATGAGAGAACAATTTCAGAAAAATTACAGGATAAAAAGGGAAGAAATAATGAATATTGGAAGTATCAAAACTAGTCTTGCTCTAAACATTAGAATCTTCATATCTGCTTTACTCTATTACCATCAATCTGTGAAATTAGATATTTTATAGAATGCCTCGAAAATCTATAGCCAGGGGTCCCCAAATCTATAGCTGCAGGCCAGTACCTGGTTGTGGCCTGTTTGGATCTGTGCCATGGAAGTGGCAGACGAGCACGTGCATATGTGTGCAGTAGATCCATTTGCACGAGCAGTGGGCAAGTGCATGCATACATGAAGCTCCATTTGTGCTAGTAGTAGATATGCATGCCTGCCTCTAGCAAAATGGAGCTGTATGGCGGTGCTCCCTTGCCTACAGCTCACATGGAACCATCCGCTCTCCCCTTGCCAGTTTGCAAAGCCAGAAAGGTTGGGGAATGCTGATCTACAGAATGCCAAAAATGGGATATTGGAGTACGAAATGCTTAATATTTCATACATTTCCTAGGCATTCCCTAGGCATTCTATGCAATGCCAAAAGGCAAACTGACAAAATATAAAATACTACTAAAATGCCATTCTAGCCTTCCTTGTTGCAATAGGTAGGTCAATAGTAATCTTTTTCTCTTGGTTTTTTTTTTTTTTTTTTTTTAGTAAGAAAGTCCTAAGCTTTATTTCACATTTCTTCCTTCATTTTCATATATGTCTTTTCAATAAAGAGTTAGCCTTCTCTGCTGCTGATCCCTTTTTGTGGACATCTTGCTCCCAGAGTTGAGGAAATCCCCCCACATTTCTTGGCCTTCCACAAAGGAATCAAAACTTGGTTCTGTAGCCTTGCAATTAAGGGGCTGGTCAGTCCCTTGAAAGCCCCATCTCGCCTATAATAATCGAACACTAAATGGTCATTTTAGAATTTTCCCCCTTTTAATGTTTAATTGTCATTATTTTATAAATCTGAAATTTTTAACCTTAATTTCATTTTTAATTTCTAATGTTATTTTTATACATTGTTTTATTTCTTGGTTATATTATGGTATATTGTACACTGCCCAGAGCATTTCTTTGAGGAAGATGAGCAGTTTAGAAATATGAATTATAACTAAATAAATAATTGAAATTTTAAGCATGATTGTAATGTGTGAATCCAATATTCTGTTTTCAAAGGCATCCAGATAAGCAACTTACAATTGTCATGAATTCTTGAGGATTCAAATGGCTTATAGATCCTTCTGAATTTTTAGTCTGCTGGATTAAGCATGCCATTACCAGAAACAGCCACATCCTAGCTCTGTATAGATTAATAACAGAAAAAAAATATTGAAACGCTTGAAAAATATTAGATTGATAAGAGTAGTTGGATCCCATTCATCTGAGCCCATCATGGTGGACAATTGATAGTATTTTGGGGGGGAGAAGGAGGTTACCACATTCCAGATGTGCATATCTCGTTTTCCAAACTACAATTATTGTAATTGTAGTAGTGCACTTTTGAAGTAAATAATTGGTTTCTATTACATACAGTAGCCTAACTGAACAAATCATTACTGTCTATTTAGAGACCATATTTTTTTTGTATATAGCTTTTTGGTTTGTTCCCTTCTGTAGCCCCTTTTTACCCTCCTTCCCAAACATTTCAGTCTTTTCTACCAGCCAGTCGTTTGCCATATCACTTTTTCTGATCTTACTAACTCCTTGCTGAGATCCTAAGCAACTTAACTAACCATCTTCTTCCAAAGCTCCATTCCAACTCTTCCTTGATTCCTATAACATTGCCAATCCTCACAGCACAAATATAACATTAGCCAGCCTGACATTTTACATATTTCCTCTAAAAGACAAAACTGCCCACAGATTATCTGAGGAAACAATCTCCTTTCTGGCTCTTTCCAAGGAGTGGTAGATACAGATAAAGATCAATAATCTTTTTTTTTTCTTTTTCCTTTACTATAATTCTTTCTTTTCAGATTTTTGTTGTATTATTTTGCCACACTTTCTAATTTTCTTATTATTTTTTATTTTTATTTTCTTATTATTTTACCACCACCGCCGCCACCCCCCAAAAATCCTTAATCTTAAACAAATGTTAACAACAGGACCAATACCATCTCACCTTGCTGTAACCTTGTCCGGCACAGAATAAAAAGACAAGGTTTCAACTGAGAGCTGAAACCAGAAGCTGCCATCTTGCCTTTTTTTTAAAAAAAATCCCCTCCTAAGAACACTCCTGGTCACCCCCTTCCATATGTATTGCATTACAAATCCCATCATCCCCAGCCAGTATTAATAATCACATCTGTTCTTTTCAAATAAATAATCTACAGTATAAATATCATTTAAGTGTAATTTCATGGAGAGGGGGGAGACATGTCATACTTACCAACAAAAAAACCAATGGTAATATTTGTTTAAAGGGGGGAAATAGAAAGAAGACAGGAAGAATAACCTCCTTTGCTTTAAATGTTCCTCAAAATAACTGAAAAAGAGAGAGAGGGAAAATGATGCTTTTCCCCAAAACACATGAAAACATTTTTAACTAGAGAAGGAAGCTCAGTCCTCCTGTTTGGCAATACATTTACTCCCGGTGCTTTACACCCTTAATCCTCCACCAGCATAATTACTCTGGCTTATAATTATAATTTTTCAAAATGATTTCACAAATGGCAAAAATAATTGACTATATATTTCCCACAGATCCTATCATTAAGTGAATAGTTAAAATTATTGAAAGTATTACACCAGATTTACAAAATCACTAAAAAAAGTTTTTCTTTTTTTTACAGCCTCAGTTGAAATGTTCTGTACATTTTTATTTTTAAGAAAAAGCTTGGCCCAAATTGTGGATAGCTAACATCAGGAAACTACTGCCATATCTTATGCATCTGTAGGCCTCACTAGTCTAGAAATACGAAAAATGACTAAATAATCCATTCTTCCTCATATTGAACAATTTCCTTGTGTAAGGAAAGAGGGAGAAAAGAAAATCACTTGTAAGATGTTGCACATTTTTTTTAGGAGGAATTAGTTTAGACAGCTTTAAGGCAGAAACAGGGCTCCAACCACAGATCTAAGTGGCCCATCAGCTTGGATTATGCAGCCAGTCAAGGATTAATCTTGGCTTTCTCCTGCCGGAAGAAATAAATAGTACCAAGCCTGGAGGCTTTGCTCTTTTGACAGATGGGCTAAAAAGGCAACTACCCATGGAAGTGAAGTTTATTCAAGACTTTTAGAGATACCTATCTAACTACGATAGGAGGAACAGTCCTTCTCTGCCTACTTTCCAAGCTTTGCCCCTCCTTGCTGCATTCCAGGGAGGGAAGGCCCATGGAAAATTAGAGAAGACAGGCTATGCCTTCTTCTTTTAAGCGGTGTCACAGAAGTAAAATTTCTAAATATTAGTTTGTTACTCAGCAGCCATCTGAATTCATCGGAATGAAGACAACAGTAGGAAAGCAACCAGTATTTTATGGTACCATTGAAAACATAAACATTTGATTAAATGGGGTGTTAAAGGGGGGTGTTTGGTTGTTCCACTTTGACCTTTTTATTTACATTAAGGGCAGCAAAATAGAGGTGGAAAATAGGACTCTTCTCTATACTCTACTTTGAATGATACAGTTCGGTGAATGAGAACGATGAATCCACATCAGCCAAAAATCCCAATATTAAGGAGACGATTTTGTGAGAGGATGGTTTATAGCTAAAATGGTGAGGAAAAATAAAATACTCAGAAAATTCTGCAACGTGGTTTTCAGGCTTTGTGGAATAAGAGAAAAATATCTTCCTTTTTTTCAGGGGGAAAAAACAATAGCCTTAGCAACAGCAGCAACATGTTCTATGTTATTAAATGTTCAGAGCTGTTTTTGAAATGCTAGTAATGGAATGTAAATGTGAAACTGTCTTCAAATCAAGCCCCTGGGAACCATTAAGGAACCATATATTGAGAAAAGGCCTTTGTCATGCCTTCAGCATAGAGTTTGTGTATGTATGTACTGCTGTTGTTGTCTGACATGTGTTGAGCCCCATCTGGTGGCCGGGGACAAACCTGTCATTGTTTCGATAGAACATCGGTTTTCATAGCATTTTTTACCCTTTCACCCTGAGAAACCAGACCCCATTTTGTAACGTTCTGGAGTAACAGAAACATTTAGAAGAATCCAGCTTAGTCTTCTGAAAA